AATGAATGGAGGATTGGTTTTGGTTTTGGTTTCGGTTTCGGTATTGGTTTAGGCGTGGTGGGTTCACGAGAGAGGTTTGGTTTTGATTTGGCGTGTGAGACTCCGATCGGGTGGGTTACAACGCAGCCTAACTTTCTTGTCTCACGCGCTAACCTTGCGAGTGTACTTCAGTTAACCACTTCTTCCACCAAAGTATTACAACTACCAACATTAAATAAAAAATAAACCAATGACTCCCTGATATTTTACATAATTTTCAACTGCTAGTTCGAAGCTTCGAAGTCTCGTCCCCACATGTAATCGTCTTTTTAAGAACTTAACTTCGAGAAATCTCTGTTTATGGCTAGCAAAAACACCAATGTAGAATATCCAGAGGAGTTTAAAGCAACTTTCATTAATTAGCTGGACCAACAATAGAAAAGGAAATGGTTGACTACATTAAGGGAGAGCACAATAATCAACTATTTTGGCCTCCCATCTCAAATCTCCATAAGAAAATGGCAGGTCTTCACCTCAATTAAGGATGCTTTTTATGTGTTGGTGCAGCTGGAAGAGACTTTGCAATAAGGAAAGAACAGAGTAATGTTTGCTAAACATAGATGAAGGATATTGAAAAACCAAAATAGTCTCTTTTTTCGGATTCTTAGAGGCAAATACTTCGAAATGAATGATTTTACGAAGGAAAAAAAAAGGGAAATAGTCCATGGTATACATGGACAAGTATTTTGCGGGGGCGTGAGCTTTTTGAAAAAGGCTATAGATGGAGAATTGGAAACACATACTTGTGTGTGTGAGATCAATAAGTTCATATCCTTGGCTTTCAATGGATGAAATTACAACCTCTCTTTTGTCTAGTTGATCAAAATGTGGCTTCCATCGCTAGGGGTTTATGGGACAAGGAGAAGATTAGGGACAACTTTTTGGAGTCTGAGGCCAACCTCTTCTTATAAATTTAATTTCTCTGCTGAAGAAGGAATCTTATCACTAAATCACAGGGGAGCTCTCCTCTTCAAATAGTGATATGTGGTAGATGGAAATGTTTATGGAAGGCCCAATTCCCTCCAAAAACAAAAATTTGTTGCTGCAAAACAGTGAATGACATTTTTTCTACTAATTCTAACTTGTATAAGAAAGCTATGTTTTGTTCCAAAAAACAAAATATATGAAATTCAAATCTCCCTTTCAACTAGGTCCCAAAAGACATAAAACTCTAACATTGCATGAAAATCCACACTTTTGTGTTTGTCAAATTGTCTAAAGAGACCTAAAAATAAGTGGATTGATTGGGTGAAACAAGAAGAGCATCTCTCAAGATCACTGTGTTACAAAGTGAGACGGGTAGTTAAAGGTTTCAGTCAAAAAAAGGTATTGGCTTTGATGAAGTTTTTGTTCTTGTTGTCAATATGCCTTGTCGTGTAGTTATGAGTTCGGCAGCAAGCATTAACGTAACTTAGAGGTTAATCAGATTGATGTCAAAACTGCATTTCTCTATGGTGATTTAAATAAATAAATTTATATGAAACAATCAGAGGGCTTTGAGGAGTAAGGCAAGGAGAATTTTGTGTGCAAGTTGATGGCAACATGCATCGAGGTAGTGGTAAAACAAGTTTGAGGCAGTTATGGGGAGTAAGACTACAAAAAGACTACTTCTAATTATTGGTCCTTTGCAATGAAGGATTCGTGACCAATGAAGAAGATTATTGGAATTCGTATAACACGAGACAGAGTATCCAAGAAACTGTATATGTCTCAAGAGCATTACATAGAGAAGGTATTTGAAAGATTCAACATGATCAAATCTAAAATAGTTAGTTCTCTTCTATCCAATCATTTCAAACTAAGTAGCAAGTAGAGTCCTTCGACATATAAAGAGAAGGAAGACATGAGTAGAGTTTCATATGCTTCAGCAGTTGGGAGCTTGATGTATATCACGATATGCAATAGACTAGATATTGCTCGTGTTATTGGTGTTGTTATTTGTTTTATGTCCAATTAAAGAAAACAACATTGGGAGGCAATCAAGCAGATCATTAGATAATTTTGCATACTTCCAATTTGGAGATCACTTATGGGAGCCTAAATCCAAGGCTTGTCAGTTACACTGATTCAAATATGGTAGGATATGTAGATAATCGAAAGTCTACTTCTGACTACTTGATGACATTCCCAGGTGGTGAAGTGTCTTGGTAGTCAAGATTATATTGCACTCTATATAGAAGCTCAGTTTCAAAGAACAATAGTATGTGATATTTTGCGATAATCAAATCGCATTATCTAAGTAAGAATTCAACATTTCATTCCATAACTAAACATATAGAGTAAGGTAAGATATCACTGGATGAGAGATGCTCTCAATGACGTATTGTTTGAACCTGGGAAGATACATATTGATTTGCTAGATCTGATAGGCTGACAAAGAATCTAACAAGAGAAAAAGTTGAATTTTGTCGTTCCATTAGTGGAATGACAATTTCCTTTACACAATGAAAAGATGGAGACTTGTTGGGTTTTTCAATTTTTTATTAAACCCTGCTCGGCTTAGGTTTTGTTTTGTTCAAAAACAAAAGGAGCAGCCGCCGATCATTTTTGTCGTGAGAGAGAGAGACAGTGAAAGAGAGAGAA